TGTTTTAGCCTCACAAACAACCCTGTGAGGCAGGCCATGCTGAGAGACCGCGAGAGGCCCAAAGTCAGCCAGTGAGCTTCACGGCTGAGTGGGGACCGGCATCCGGATCGCCGGAGTCCCAGTCCAACTCTAGGAGCTGCTACACCGCTCTGGCGCTCAGCTTCCTGGGACTCCACACTCTTTCGGCTTCCCCGCTCTGGACAAACCTTCCTGCCCTCGGTCCCCTTCCCAGCAATTCCCGCTCGTTGGGTGGAGGCGCCGTCTCCATGCAAGGGTGGACCTTGTGCCCCTCCTCTGGGAAGGCACTCCCCCCGGCGGCTCGCTCCCGCAACCCTGGCCCACCTTGAGCCTCCGAGACAGGTGACCTGGCTTCTGCAGAAGCTCGTGCGGCATTCCGGTCTTGCTTCTGATGTTCGCACCACGTGGAAGGGCTGTTGCTCGGCGGGGAAAGCGCGCTCCGGAGAGCAGGTCTCCCGCTCCACGCCGGCCATCTCTGCCTTAAGTCCTGAGCAGATACTGCTCTCCGGAGCAGAGAGAAGCCGGGCGCAAAAGAGGCCTTGTCGGCACCGGGCTGCTTCCGATGCAGCTGACTGAACCCCCACTTCTTCGTACAGGTGGGGCACGGTCCAAGAAGCCTCGTCTTGTGGCACATGGGCCTTTCAGTCCAGGACCACCTTCCCTGCAGCTGCAGAGCCCGCAAGGATCCGGCCCCTGCGTCTGTGTACCAAGCTTGAAAAGGTGCCTTTTTTAGTGTTCAGAAGGAAACACTAAATCAGAGAACTCGGAAGGGAGGGCTTCAAAGGATCAGCCCAAGAATCTTGTCCCTACTGCCCTTTCCACATAGCATTTCCTCGGCTTTGCCTTCCAATCCCCATCCATTCAGCATCAGCTATAATTAAGCTGGCATTTCATTTTCTTTTAAGGAGACAATGCACCTTTGATTTGGTATCATAAAAACGGGGGAATCTGCACTTTGCAGCTGACAAATCTCGGTTGATTTTAAAACCAGCGCAGCGAACCACTTTTTACTGGTGGCCAGTGATGTGATGGCGAATGGTGAAGTGCAGATACTCAGCGTGACCGTCTCCACAGCTGCGGCCCAAGAAAGTCCAAAAATCCAGGCCGCCGTGCTAGTTCATGCCCACAAAGCAACTCCAGCGGTTTGCAGCTCTTTTGTAAAGCCAGCAGGGCCGGCCTGCCCTTCAGGAGCGAAGCTTCCTCGAACACTTTGAGTCCCGTTGCCAGGAAAGCACGTTTCCCCACAGAGGAGCTCAGAGCAAACGGCAATCGGGGAGAGTCAGGGGTCTCTGCTAGTAAAAGGAATACTGGTGCTCTGGGAGGCCCCGCTCCGCGGCATGCTTTGGGTGCCCTGGCTGTGGAAGACCCTTCATGGAAGGGCTTGCTTACTGCCTCTCTTCCAGGCATTTCTACACGATGCAAACAATTCTCCCAGCCTTTCCTTCGGTTTCTAAAGGACGTCATAATACCTTTCAGCCCTGCTCTCTGTTGTGAGCTTTATCTTGGTTTCACGCTGCAGCCATTTCCAACAAATATATGTATTCCCAAAACTTCAGGCTTGCACCATGTTTCAATATCAGACCGTTTGTTTTTAACCTGTTTTGCAAACCCACTGGAAGAGTATCGGGCAGTACAGAAATGCAATCGAAAGAGAACTAGTCTTCCATGCCAGCAGCAGCAATGGCATCGCCTGTTCCCTTCTCTGTGCACATCCCCTCTTGCTGCATGTTTAGGGCTACATGCTAGCCAGAACACTTGCCTGCTGCCATAACAACATAGAAACAGAGCGAGTTCGAAGGGGCCTCCCGGGTCATCTAGTCTGACCCCTGGCTCCAGCTGGCTCTGCTCATGACATGCCCACCATGTGGACGTCCAGCCTATCCTTGAACACCCGCACCGATGGGGCCTCAACCATCTCTCGTGGAAGCCCATTCCACACCCTCGGGGTCCTGACTGTCGGGAAGTGCTTCCTGGCATCTAAATGGAACCTGGGTTCCCTGAACTTGGCTCTGTTGGAGTGCGTCCTGCCTTCCTCTGCAGGGGAGAGCAGGTCTCTCCCCACCTCCGTCTGACACCCCCTCACATACCTGTATGTCGCCAACAGATCCCCTCTGAGTCTCCTCCAGGCTGAAGAGACCCATTTCCCTCAGTCCCGCCTCATACAGCATCCCCTGCAAACCGGCCACCAACCTTGAGGCCCTTCGCTGCACTGACTCCAACCTGGCTATATCCTTCCTGTAATGAGAGGCCCAAAACTGAGCACAATACTCCAGTTGTGGGTGCACCAGAGTTGTATAGAGCGGTAGTAATACCTCTCTCGATCTGGAAGCCACACTTCTGGCTATGCGACCAAGGGTGGCATTCGCCCTCTTGGCCACTGCTTCGCACGGCCGACTCATGTTCAGCCTGCAGTCAACCGGCACCCTGAGGTCCCTTTCACAAGCGCTGCTCTCCAGCCACTAGCCCCTAACCCGTACCTGCAACACCCATTCCTATGCCCCAAGTGCAAGACCTTGCACTTATCTGCACTGAGCGCCATCCTGTTGTCGAGAGCTCACAGTCCATTGGGACCTGGCATGTGCCCCCAGGGAGAGGAAATGCCCGCAAGGCCCCAAAGCAATATTGCAAAACTGGTAGCTGTCCCACAAACGGGAGGGAGGGAGGGAGGGAGGGACAGAGGGACGGGGTCTTTTGAAGAATGGTGCACTGAAGATCTCAACTCTCCCTGGGTAAATACCACTCAAGGGAACAAGGTATATACATATTTTATTTTTAAAAAAGTTTACAGTTTCTGTAATTATACACAACTATTTTGAGAGGTTATAATTCTTCGAAGAGGCATTTCCCTGGCATTGGACATGCCCACCTACATCATCACAATGCAAAGGGGGGTGGAGGTGGGGCGGGGAAGCTCAGGCTCCGATGGAGGGCCGGGTGCCCTGGTGCATCTCTTCAAGTATTCACACAATATGTACCAAATACAGTCAGTAAAAGAAAAATGGCCATTTCTCATGCAGCACACGCCAACTTCAAGTGCCAGCACAACTCAGACGAGCAAGAGGAAGCGAGAGGACAGACGTGTGTGGGTATATATATATTTATAAAGCCAGTGTTCCTGGGCCACACCGCCTCAAATGGTCCGGGGATGGGATGGCCAGTCACCAGCGGACATGCCGGATCGACGCCTTCCATCACCACCCGTGCCAAGTGAGCATCACTCCAGGGCCAAATCCTGGTCCACGCCATTGGGCATCCCCTGCCCTGCAGGAGGCCTTGTCCCCCTCCCCAGAAGGGCAGGAAGACACGGGCCAAGCAAGGGCAGAAGACCGATTACAGGAGCGCCCGTTTGGCCAAGCTGAGCTTGAGGCATGGAAGCAGGTGGGTCGCCTGCTTCCAACTCCGTAATCCATCTTCTTCAGATTCTGACCCATGTCATTTGCTCCCAGTCTCAGACCGCCTTCCAAGCTCCCTCCCTCCTTTTATCCAGCAATTTAAGAGCTAACAAGAAGAGCGAACGCGGGGTCAAGAGATGGACTTGGGAGTCCGGCAAGAGAAAACGCAAATAAAAAGCAACAAACATCAGAAGTCCTCTGATGAAGGTCAAGGACAAGCGAAGGGTTCCTCCTGTTGTGGGGGTGGTACTCAGAAAGAGGATGGGAAGGAGAAGGAGTGGATGTGAGAAATTAAGATCCCGTTTTGTCAAAATTATTTTTTACAGCACGCACACAAAACACGGCTGCTCATGTTGTGCACAGAATTTGCAGGCCCCGCTCGGAAAGGAAGGCTACGCTGAGCCAGCTTTGCGACTGAGCCATCGGATGGAGCAGGTGCCCTGAGAAGAGCCGAGAGCTTCTGAGGACAAGCCAAAGGGGCCCGCTTCTCCATTCCAGGGGGCAGCGGCTATCCGAACGGGGCGGGGAGCGGGCCCAGGAGACTGGCAGCGATGAGCATACCGGCGGGACAGGAGCAAACGAACTGCGACCTGCGCCTTGTCGGTTCAGGACTCCGGCAATTATTCCTCACCGGCGCCTCTTTCTAGGTGGAAAGGAATGCTGGGGCGCTTAGCTCTTTGGGGCCACACTGAGCATGGGCCTCGCTGGCTGAGGCCACGGGCGCTGCATCTCGGCCTCTGCAAGACCACGCCTGGATTCACCTGTCCGCCCGGATCACTCGGCAGGCGAGGATCATTGCCAAGGGACCACGAAGGTTTTGAGCCCAGCTCTGCCGCTGAAGGAGGGTGGGGAGATTCTGTGTCATTCCCGGAACCCCGTGCTGAGCTCAAAGCTGCCTCCCCCAGCCCAGCACCCTCCGGACGCGCTGGGCTCCAGCTCCCGGCCCCTCGCTCAGGGGTGAGAAAGGGCAGGAGGGCTGAGGCACAGCCCGGGGTGAGGGCGAGGAGGAGAGGCCGGCCAGCCGTCTCTGGACGCCCAGCTCGGTGCAGCTCAGGGCTGCTACCGGCCATCGCCGATTCAGGCCAGGCTTGTTGAGGGAAGGGGTCCGGAGGGGAAGAAGTGGGTGCCTGCAAGCAGGATAGTAGCTACGCCTCAGATTCTGTTTGCATGTCAGGATGGAGTTGTGGGGGATTTCTGAAAGGTTATCCACATAAAGGTAATTAGAACACTAAGATTTGTATTTACAAGACTGAAAAAATACACTTTCTTTCTTTTAAACAGGTACGACCATCACAACAGCCACCTCGGCACTCAAATCTATCCCTAAATTCATCTAAGAGGTCCTCGCGCAAGCAGGCGGCAAGCAGAGCCGCTAAGGGCTCCCCTGCCCCCCAGCTCAAGAAAATGGCTAGGGCAGGAGGGGGGGCCAGACACGCCTTTCGCAGGTAACCCCACGCCCTCCGGAAAGCCATGCTCACTAGGGCAGAGTATTTCGGCCCAGCTGCTCCCCGCAGCTCTAGATTAATGCTCTTTCATGTAAAAGAAAAGTTCATTTTTTTCTCTTTGCGCTTCATGCCCGTGATTCAAATACTTGGTATGCTTTTGCTTTATTAAAGGAAAATAATCATGCCAAAGTCAGATTCTACTATACAGAAGTTCTTTCCAAAAGGGAAAAAGCAAACGGATCACGCTTTAGGATTGTACTTTCTGACATCCCCTCCCACCACCAAAGAGACACACACACACCCCGACTCCAAACTTTCAAGGAAACAACCGGGGAGAAATACAATTTACTGAGCTTTGTTTGACATTCAGGGTTCTGCTTGAGTCACCCACGTTTAAATCCCATATTCTGCCTCCGGAGCCGACACCAACGGCTGCTCCCTACAAAGACTTCCCTTCGGAATCCTCCCCAATACAGCAGAGGCAGCATCCGAATCAGAGATCCATCTTGCTGGGCGCTCTCGCTCTGATCCATATTCAAGTATCACCGACGTCCCAGGTAGGCATTTACAGAATGAGGTTTGCTAACGACTAAATGCAAGGGCCGGGGGGAAGACCTCATGGGTTCAAAATGCACCAGAAGAAATTTTGGAAAATCCAATTACGCATCTCTGAGACCGGCACTCTTGCCCACTCCCCCTCTTGAAGAGAAGCCCCCACCCAGTCCACCACAGGGGGCTTTCCTAGGTTGCCTGGCCTGCCCACCGAAGAAAGGGTCCTTCAGAGCAGCTGGGGAGCAGGTGGACACGTGTGCCGACAGAGCTGCGAGCAGCGGCAAAGGGAGCGCACGGACACCTCGGCCTGGTCACAAGCCCACGCCTGCAGCCCACCTTGTGCAGCGCTGGCAGGCGCATCGAGAGGGCGCGCATGTGCATTGATGTATCTATGTAATGACTGCCCAGTGGCTTTTGCCAGCAGGACCGAGATGGGCTGAACGCTATGCACTCCGGGTGAGTCAAGCCAACCTTGAACAGTGCTTGCCTTCTGTGCCTTAGAAACAGAAGAGGACCCAGCGAGCATCCAGGCCGGGAAGGTGACGCAACAGCCCAGCCGTCGGCTTCCGGAAGCTCCTCCGAGCAAACCAGGCCAATTGCACCACCAGGCTCTAGGCAGGAAGTCCATACAAAGCGTACTTAGTAGCAAAGCCACCTTGCAAAATTCTGACTCGTCAATGCATTCAGTTGGTGTTTTTTTCAAAAGGACGACTCCAGTCAAGGTGTAAGCAGCCGGGAAGAAATGAAAGGGCACGGCTGACTTCACTGCCTCGTCTGTCTAGCATTTATCCCCCAATATTTTCCTTTTACATTCTGAAAGTGCTGTTCCATTTTTGCATCCAAGAGTGCCTGCCGTCTTTGGAACCATTAATTAAAAAAAGGAAGAAAAGAAGAAAAGGGAACATCCATGCCCTCTCCCTAGCAAAGCGTGTGGTTAGGTTGACAGTTCGGTAGCCCACAGGTTGACTCAGCTCAAATGGAATTATGGGTGGATGGATGCATGCACGCATCTGGGCTTCATATTGCTACCAAGTGGAATGTGGGAAATGCGCTTGGGTTCTGAGAAATGACCAATAAATCAAGATCTAAAGGGTGATATATATATGTATATATATCTCAATGCTATTATTCATAAAAACCTTGTTTAGTAATAAAAAATTGCTTTGTTTAAATATGAATATTATAGTCTGCTTCTCAGCGCATGGTTAGGAAGTCAGTCTCTCTGAAAAGCAGGGCGCTGCTTCTACTACAATTCCATATCTTGGGCCTCATCCTCTGAAAAGTCAGACATGGAGCTCTCCGAAGAGCTGTCCCCGGTGCCTTCTTCCTGTTCTTTCAGTGCTTCCTCTGTTGCATATTTCTGAATGTATTCTGGATGGGGTGAAACGGAGAGAGAGGGGAAGGGGAAGACGACACACGACATTTGAGGCCAGAGCCGCAGTATTAGCCAGACCCCAAGCACGTGGCTGCTCCTGGCAAGCCAGCGGCCCCTCCCCTCCCCTCCCCTCCCCAAGCGAGCAACCACGGATGGTGCTGATGCAGCACTGCCTTTGTTCGCAGCATCCCGAGAGGCTAACGTCCGCACGGGGCTGCCTGCCTTTGACCCTGGGATCGTCTCGGTCCGTTTCGCGGCGTCCGAGGCAAGGTGACTGCTGTGCCTTCCCGAGCAGAAATGCTGGGCCGCGAGCGAGCGAGGTGTTCTCTGAAGAACTGCCCCCGTGTGCCAAGCTCAGGAAGAGATCTGTGCTGGCGGGGAGAGGGGAGCGCAAGGCTTCAGAGCAGGCCGGGAGCATGAAAGCAACGGCCGGCTCCCAGGCTTCCTGCTTCACACTGCAGGCACAGAGAAAATCGCATTCCTGGCATGGCACTGAGAGAGGAGAGGAGAGGAGGAGGACAGCCAGAGAACGAAGAGGGGGATGGTGCTTAACCAAGCACTTCGAACGGCAGGAGCCGAGCGGGTCAGCGACGTGGGCAGCAGCCAGGAGAAGCAGGGTGCTATCAGGGGAGGGGTCACTTGGGGTGCTGTGCAGGTCCCAGGGGTTCATTTGGTGCAGCCAGGGCGGTGAGCTGGTGCGCAGAACTAGCCCCCCGAGACTCACCCAGCACCACGCCTGAACATGCCAGGTGCCTTTTGGAGCGGGAGAGCAGGTGCCCCCCCACCCCCAAAGCCACGAGCTGCCCCAGCCCTCCCGCAGATCAGGAAGGGGGACGAAGCCGCCCGCCCGCCACACCCCTTCCACATCGCTCCGCCGTGCTGCCTGCAAGGAGCAACGGCGCTGCAGCATCTTACAGGCCGGGCTAAGGACGGGCAAGCGAGAGCAGAGGCTTCGCGGTCTGTGGCGGAGGCGCCCGTGCCAGGGCGGAGGCTCCCCGGCCAGCCTGTGCTTCTGTGGGCATGAGCCCCATCGCCACCCCCGCTTTTCCTGAGGGTGCTCATGCTGTGGCCTCCAGGATGTGTGTGTCGGGCGGGGGGGGGGTGCAGACACTTGATGCAGAAGAGACCAGACTGCCAAAGGCAGCTGCCTCCTTCCTCGCTATCAAGGAAGTCCTTCTGAGCTGCCTCCCAGATCAGGGCTCCACCAGGTTCCAGGCCGGGACTCGGCCGGCTTGGGGAGCAGCCCCACCACGGAGCTTCCAGGTGTGGCAGGAAAGGATGGGAGGTGCCCGATATGGCATGGAGCAACTTCGACATGGGCTGAGCAGCCTGGGGGGGGGGGCAGACTGCTTTCAGGTGGCACTACCTCAGGCTTGGCCGGAGCACCTGCCCCTGCAGACCGGCCTTCCCCGGCAGGGCAGCCCAGATGCAGCAGCCTATAATTCCCAGGGTGGTTGTGGGTGGGAGGCTGGGCGCTTCGGTCCCATGCACCTGGTGGGCGGCGTGTGGGGGAAGGCTGGCCTCGGCGAGCCCCGTGTGCGTGCTCTGGCAACGTCCAGAGAGGAGCCCTTCGCAGCCCTGCCACAGCGATACTTCCTCTGGAACTGCGGGGAACTGGCGGGGCATCATCCGACTGCAGAGGCACACGCTACCCCAAGGGAGCCTCCCGCCCCCTTCCCAGAGTTCCTTTCTCCCTCAGGGAGGAGACTGGCTTGGCAACGTGCTGGCAGGATGCGGTCCCCGTGTGTGCTGGCGAGCCCCCTCTGGGGAGGGAGTCAGGACCAGAGGGTGGCTGAAGGGCTCCTGGAGCCATTCCGGGGGGTCCTGGGACTCACGGCGACGCCTCTGAGCAGCTCCCCCTGAAGCCCTGGTCCCCGGTCCTTCGCTCCACGGGCTGCATGCCCAAGGGTTCCCTGACTTAGAGGAGAACGTAAGAGGCAAGGAGAACGCCCATACTTGCAGCAAGGGGTCTCCCACGCTTCCTTATCAGGAAGTAAGTTCACTGAGAAATTTACTCCTGATAGACATGCATGGGACTGCGGAGCGAAGGCGGGCACCTGCTGCTCTCCCAGGCTGGAAACCCAGAGCCTGGCTTCCTTTCCTCCCCACCTCCCAGGGAAGAATCAATCACTGTGATGGGGAGAAAGAGAGGGTGGGGAGAAGCCGCTGTCAACACTAGATGAGGCTCTTTGATCTAGGCCCCTCTAGCTCTTTCGGCCTACAACTCCCATCAGTCTCATCCAGCACAGCCAGTGGTCAGAAAACGGGAGCTGCGAGCCAAACACCTGGAGGGACCTAAGCTGGGAGTGGTCTGCACTGGAGAAATAACTGATTGATTCAAACCTTCTTCTGGAGGCCGATCGCAGCCTTCCCTAGCCTGGTGACCTTCAGAGGCATTTGGACCAGAACTCCCAGAGCTCCCGTTCAGCGGGGCCATTGACTGGGAATTCTGGGTGCTGCAGTTCGAACGTGTCTGGAAGGTCCAGGATGGGGGACGGCTGGCCTCTCTCAGCACCTCCCCAGTATGTCCAATGTCAGATGAAGGCACCTCCTAGATATCACTTTTTTCCAAGGCAAGAGCTCTTTCACAGCACAAGTAACCGAAGGTTCATCTTGTGGCCATTTGGTGCATTACAGGATGTTTCCATACAAGGCAAAGTTCCCAGACACACCCCAGGCTGTTGACAAGGCGCCAAAGCCCTTACCTTTAATTTTCTGTTTGTATTCCTCTGGTCGGTGAAGGTACATGGCCGCAGCGTCACCATTAAGGGGATCTATGGGGTTGGGGTAGGCCAGCAACTGAGGCAGGAACGACTCGAATATATTGGTAAGATCTGAAAGTGCGAAACAAAAGAGCTGATCTCGGGCGAGTACCATCGGAACGGCTCTGCAAAGAGAGTCCTCTACACCACCACCGGTTTATTTCGCATCTGTGCTCCAGGTGACGTGCAGAGTGACGGGGCCCCTGCCCCAGTTCCTGTTAAGATGGGCGGAGGCGGAGCCAGAAGAAGGGATGACGGTGCAGCGACAGGGACGGCATCCCACCGCCTGCGTCTGGTCTAAGCTACAGGGTGGGCCGAGGAAGGCAGAGTAAAAAGCAGGGCTGCACCGTCTTCATTCCGCGTCTGTATCCGAATCTGCTCATGGAGGGCGCAACCTGCCCTGCGGTCACCCCTCCCGGGAATGAAGCGCCATCCTCGTGCCCGACTTCACCTGTAACCATACGGCCCCCTTTTAAGAAGGGTGCCCACCCCGGGGGCAGCCTTATGGATTCACATGCAAGGTTATTTACAGCCTACGAATGACAGGACGAACTCGGGCTCCACTGCTACAGAATCCTCGGCACCGAGCAGGTTCCACTCACCATAGAGAGCTGTCCAAGTCTGATTAATTACATCTAGACATACAGTTCCTGACCTGCAACGAGACAGACAGACAGACAGACAGACAGATGAGGGGGCAAGCTCCGGCTCACGGCCTGGCAGTGCTGGGGTGGCGCAGCAGCCCAGCTGAGAGTCCCGCTTCGCACCTCGCCTCTGCTATTAACACATGCCGTCGAACAGAAGCGGGCAGAAGATAACTGGGGGGCAGATGCGTGTGCTTGACGGACAGGGGTTCATTCCAAAGAACGGCTCTGACAGACGCAATGAAAGGGCCCGAGGAGCGCCAGGCGAGCCTTTCCGAGAACAAGAGCTCGGGCGGAGTGCAGGCTCAGAGGTGCCTGGTTCCGAACTTCCAGTATTTGCCTGCTCCGGGGGGGGAGGGGGCTATTTTGCACCTGGCAATGGCAGGTACGCCTCAATCTCTGAAGAAAGTGGAAGATCCTGCAAGCCAAAACTCTGCACACCTGTGCAGCAGAACATCTCAGCAAGAGTCCTATGCAAGAGGCAGAGGGCACTGCTTACATGGATCGTTAATTCATATTACCCAGCTTCACTGGCCTTTCTTGAGTTAATAGACCGTTACAGATAGTCCAGCAAACCTGGGTAATATGAACCTCAGTACTGCTAAAGATGGGCTGCCATTTTAAGCCGGAGCATCTCATTGTCCTCCTGGAGTAGCAGGGCTCGTACGAGTGGGCCCCCTCCGTTTATCTCAAGCCCAGCAGCTTTCGCCAGTACCTTGGGGAGCCAGGTGCGCCTCCTAAATTATGCCCCAACCTGCTGCAACATATGGGGGGTCCCCCCATATGGAAAAGGCCCCATCCAAGGCAGGCGCTGAAGAGCCAGCTTAAATCTATTAGCGTCGTATCCTATCCTAGGAGGGGAGGGAGTGAATAGAGAGCTCACCATCTGCATTTGCAAAATGTTTGAACTTGTCATGCCCGTTTGCCTCCCCCTCCCAGACTGGACTACAGAGGTTACATGACTAAAATGAAAGCCCCCCACTCAAAATAAGAAATCCTTAGGGCAGTAGATCTTAAGTGACTTACGCTTCATCAATGTTGGGATGGAAAATTTTATTCATGAATCCTGCAAAACAGAACCAAACAGAGAAGGGTTAGCAGGGACCTCTTGTTCTTAATTTGGGCACCGAGCAAATTACAGGCAGCAGCTACGGAGGAGGGAACGGACGCTTCCCAAGCTACCAATGGGATGCAGGAGGAGTCTCGCTGTGAAAGGAGATCCATGACCAATGGAAACGCTTTCTCCAGTTACAGCCCCCCTGCTGATGCCATGAACCCGTTCAGTGCTGCCCCTCCCAGCGCCACAAGGCTCCTCATTCTCTCAAAGGTCTGCCGGTCAGGCGGGATGAAAAGGGACACTGGCCCGTGAAGCACAGGCCTGCACTGCTTTACAAGGCAGACTCTGCAGGGCATCTGTGGGCTGTCATTCAAACACGGCGAGAAAATACGACGACGCAGCTCTACTAAAATCCATGACAGTCTGCAAAGGAAGCCATTAAGGGCAAGTGATGGAGGAATTCCGCAGCCCAAGACCCAGCGAAATAACTGGGAGACGGACTTATCTTTGGTGGTTGCCAAGAGACATGAATATGCCACTGCGGCAGACTTAATAGAGGTCGCGAGACACCGCTTAAATTTTTCAAGATCGCTCGTGATTTGCAGAATCACAAACAAGTGGAGACACTTCTAGTTGGCCGAACGCGCAGCCACTGTGCTGGGACTGGGCTGCGTGGCTCTGCAGTACACTGGATTACGACGTGCAATTAGGATGCCACGCAAGAGGCCGAGGCCAAGGCCAGCGCGTCGTGTTGAGACACCATACTCGCTAAGCCTTAATAACAGAAACCCCAATTAACTGATTAGCAGTCCCCAGAACATCTTAATCGTGGCTCACCAAAGCCCCAAATAGCAGCTGCCTAGCAAGCCAAGCCCATTTCAATGAAACATGAAGTTGGCACTTAAATACAGGCTTGCTTGCTGAAGAATTTATGGGGGATCCGCACGGAGTTGACACCAGATTGCCTAGAAGCTGATGAGCGAGGCGACAGATGGGAGAGGTGCTGGCCCTGTTCAGACTCCACTACTGCTGTGACCGTGAGGGTTTCCAGATGCCATTTCGGGATCGCAGATGGTGCTGGAGCCGAAGCCCAGGAGCCCCAGCTCAGACACAGGAAGCACAGGTCTGCTCCCTTCCCGAGCCCCAGCACTGCCGGCTCCCACCAGCAGGAGCTCCGCGAGGGCTCCCACGCGCTGGGGCCTTTCCTAGACGCCAAGCGACCTGGCTCCGCAGGCACACCGCGAGCCGTCAGCTCAGAAGACTCGAGAGCTGCCCTGAACCCATGGCCTGAGGCTTGCCAGAGAAAGATGCCTGCCAAGCATACCCTGAAGGGGCACAGGGCTGGGCGGGCAGCCTGCTGGGTGCTTTCTGGAGTTACCCAAGCAAAAGGCAGGCAGATGCCCCAAAGAGTTCACTACTGGGGTGGTTGTAAAGCACCGGAGCACTTTGGTGATGGGGAGGTACAGAAGTAAGAAGTAATAATAAACTTGGGAGAAGATAACAGAAGGAAGGAACGGTAATAGCAGGAGGTGAGAGAGCAGCATTCAAGAGGGCTGCATCTGCTTTTTTAAGCAGGACAAGAGTTCCAGCATTCCCGCGCGGTGCCAGATGTGCAGCAGCAGCTGGCACAAAACCATCCCTGCGGCGATCCGGCACTGGGGCCTGTGACCTCTCCCCTGCGCACTAAAAGCACTTATTTTTATTTATGTATTTAAATGTGTTGCATCCCACCCTTTACAGTATCTCAGGGTGGCGGCAGCACAGATAAATAGATAAATAAGACACAGCGTGTGCCTTGCCGTGGAGAGAAAAACAGACTGCTGCACCTGCACAAACAGAGATTATTTGTCAGGCACGAAGCCGCAGGGAATGCAATGTGGCCAAAGCAGCCACAGAAAAGGAGCAGGTCTGTGTTTGATCCCCGAAATGACACCCAGCTAACCTAGCCTATGGCAAAGGTGTCTGTGGGCATGTTCATTATGGTAACGCGATCCAATTTACATCAGTGCCCAACAGGATACTCCCAAGGCCACAGAAGTAATCAACTGATATACTTCTTTCCCTGGGATTCTTTCTCAGGCATTTGAAAAGCGGGTGGGGTGAGAAAGAGATGAACCTGGAAAGCTTCCCCAGTATTTATTCACCACGGGCAACTAGGCAAGGAAGGACTGTCAAACCCAGGCCACTTTTCCCTCCCTGGGATTTAAGCGTAATACCACCAGGCTCAAGGGCAAAATGTAAGGCAGAACAGAGACTTTAGATCTGGGATACAGACCTGGAGTACACGACATGAACACGGGCACTGGGGGGAAACAAGGCTCACCAAGGAAGCCGGCATTCACCACCCTTCCCTCTGCAGGACTGCCTTCGCTGCAGGACACAAAGCTTCCTGTCAAAGCAATGGCTGTGCTCCATGGGGAAAGCAGGCATTCAGAAGCAACGCACACACACACACACACAGAGTCAGGACCCATCCTCCATTTCAGGCACAGTTCCCTAGCAGGTCGCCTCTCGCCTTCTCCGCGACACGAGCAGGAGCTGTGCCCGTCCACTTCCGGATGCCTCCCTCGTGCAGGAGGGCCCTCGGAAGGCGAGCGCGGCCTGCTGGGTCACACCAACGGCCTCTCGCGCCCAGCTCACCACTTCACGGAGAGGCCGGTCGAGGGCGCCAGCAGCCACTCCCGGGGGGCCATGTCCCGTTTCTGGTACACGAGGCTCCAGGCGCAACTCGTGCACTGCAGCCTTCAGGCAAAAGGCTCTCAGGGAGGACATCTCAGGTCTCTTCCCCAGGTCCTCCGGGACCCTCAAAGGCAGGGACGTCCCACTGGAGACCAAGCCCGCGATCACGCATGGCACTGCATTCGAATCACCAGGCGTGCTGGGTGTGACTCTAGCCGGTAGAGAGAGCCAGACGGACGAGAGCAGGAAGAAAACCGATGCATTTGAAACAGGGGCTTCAAAGGCGAAGAGGTGGGCCTCAGATCAGATCAGATCCAGCCAGAGGTTTCCCTGAAAACGGAAACGATGCTAGTGAGGCTTGTGCTTCAGGCGCCTCCTGAGAAGGCCAAACGCCCTGGAGAAGGCAAGCACACCGAAGCTGGGAGGCAGGAAGCTGGCGGAGGCAGACCAGCTCTGAGAGGGTCCATCAAGGCAGCCACAGCCTCAGGTGTACAAGGCCTTGTACGCAGGGTCTTCAAGGACAAAACCTCTCGGAGGGAGCTCGTTCGTAGGGACACCCGGACTCCAGGATGACGTGACGGCACAATACAAACCCCAATTCTGCAACTCCTACAGGTGTGTCCAGGTAGCACTGCTAAGCCCCTTCCAGCCTCTCATATTTTTAATAGCACTTCGTTTTGGTGCTGTTTCTAACCCATTCAGTTACCATTTCTGTTCCTGCAGGCTTTTTGTTACTGAGTATTGTGCTGTCTGCTGAGCTTTATGAAGCCGCCCTGAAGATTTTTAAAGTCAAAAGCTAGGACCCACATCTCTTGAATTAAGCACATCATCCAAAGAAAGTGAATGCCAGATGAAAGGGATGCGGGGGGGGGGGGGGCAGCAGGGCTGAGAAGCAGGCTGAGCGAAGGCTGGGCGGCCCAGGGTTGTGCTCTTCTGTGCCAACAGGTCACCTCTACCTTACGGGGACCCCACGAATGGAAGCCTGCCAGGATGCCCTTTCCACGCCCGCTCTGCCCAGCTCTCGAGGCGGCAGCGGATTCCCTTATGGCTGGTCTTCCTTTCCTCCAGCCTGCAATTCCCTAGCATGACTGTCTGTCTTCTCCATGTACTTCTGCCTTCCTGGGATATGGCCGCCTGAGCGTTGCCATTCCTGCTTCTAGGGAAAGCTCTGGCTTGATTTGATCTTAGGGCCCACTTGTGGGTCTTTTCAGTCTGCAGTCTTTGCAAAGCTCTCCTCCAGCACCAGTCATCGGAGAATGGGCGTACATTCGATGTTCTTCCCCTTCCCCACCAATGGTGACTGTTCCGAGGGTTTCCGGAACTCCCAATCCGCACAAAATTGCACGGAAGGAGGTGCTGCTGCTGCTGCAGCGAAGGCAAAGCGTGACCCACTCTCAGGGGCTGTGCAGCAAAGAGGGAGAGGGAGAGGCCGCCCTGGGCACCAGTTCCCTGCATCCTGAGAAATCCTTGCACGAAGCCCCTTCCTCCTCACTCACACGCCCCGCTCACGCCCACGGTGGGCACACCCTGCTGGCTGAACCAGCGACCAGCATCAGCAACGCCTTGGAGGCAACTAGTTGTCCAGCCAGCATGAGCCCGACCACCGTTGGGCCAACCCCGATTTGCGTGGCTCCCCTCACTGAGACGCCAGCGCCTCTCTGAAGGAGCAGCCAAGCAGCACGGGCGCTTCGGTGCCAAGCCGAGGAAGACGGGAGACTCCTGCGGCCCCCCTGCGCGGCCCCCCACACCTCCGTCCTGGCCAGGGCTCTCAGGAGCACCCAAGCCGTGCACGCATGCGCAGAGGGGCGCTCCAAAGCGGGCGCTGCGGCAGAAGCGCGGCCAGGAAGAGAGGACACACGAAGCAAAGACACCTCCGGGATGCACCTGCTAGGCCAGTAGGGAGCCATGCCTCGGAGGCAGCACCTCCCGGTCGTGGGTGTGGGGTGACAGAGGCGCGGGGCTATGCGGCCCCCTCCTGCTGTTGGCTGCGGCGTCCCATCTCCAGTCTGCAGCACTCTGTCCCCCGCTTTCCCTGCAGCTTCTCGGTTCCCTCTTCTCCTAGATCCGGCGCTCACGTAACTCCAGGAGCCATGGACTCCGGCCCTGGCGGAGCTAACACCTCCCTCCCAGTGCAGCCTCCACCAAGGCTTTGCACTCCTGCTGCTGCTGCTGCCCCCACCCAGGGGCCCAGCCTCTCGCAGGCTCTGCTGCAGCTGCAGGGGCTGCTCTGCTTCTGGCAAGCTCTCCAGCGGCTTAGCGGTTGCTTTGATGAGAAGGCAGTCGCCCTCCGCCATGAGATGGTGCCCTGTTAAGGCAGGACGGAGGCTCCC